ATTGGCACTTTATGATCCACTTCCCTCTGTGGCAGGAGCAACTGCATGGTAGGAACATACAGATCTCTCCTTTGTACAAGGTGCTAGCTAGATATTCTGTCTGCCCTCCAGCTCCACTTTCTGTTTCTTTGCTCTGTTCAACCTTCCACATGGGGGCCAAAGGAAGGCACTCGCAGAACAGAAGGTGGAAAGAGAGAGAAACAACATTTACCCTCTGGCTCCCTCTTCCCAGCTGTAGTCTGACAGAGGCTCTATTTTTATACCTGAGGCCACAGCATGTGTGCGGCCCCTCTTCCTTGGCTGTGGCTCTTGCTGAATTCCAGTACTTGCCCACTTGCCTTGTCCAACCAGGCATGGAGGTGGGGATAGCTGCCTAATTTTGCTAATCCTGGCGCTTTGCCATCTCTGTGGTTTTCCTTATCCTTGCCCATGCTTTTGTAAAATAGTTCCTTCATTAAACTCTCTTCAGTTTTCCCTGAGTGTGCATTTGGTTCCTTTGGGAACCCTGACTGATAAAATCTATCTCAAGTCTGATTCTACAGCATTATCTATCATTCATTCGACACCTATTTATTTTTTGCTACTATATGCTGGGTACCACATTAAGCACTAGTGGTGCATTTAACTAGAGCCCTGTTCTTAAACTTAAAGTCAAGTTGGGGAAGACAGACAAGTAAAAATACACGTACAATACGGAGTGGTGAATACTGTAACAGAGGTATGAAGAATGCCCTGGGAATAGAATAAGAGCACTATAATTAGCCTCGGGTAGGGATGGGTGTTAGGACTATGACACCGTGCTGTTCTCTGTAGGACAAGTAGGGACAGGGACAGGGTGCAAAGGGCTTTCAGGGCAGCAGAAGATCATACATCCAAGCACAGAGTCACATCACTGTGACATCAGTTCTAGCCTCCTCTGGCAAAGCTCAGGTTGTCCTGGTGAGGGCAGAAAGTGAGGCTACAGAGGTAGGCTGGGGAACCATGAAGGCTCATGAGTGTCCCACAGCTCTGAGTTCCAGCCTGCACGCCCAACTCTGTGGTTCAAGTCCTGGGCCCAGAGGCTTGAAAATCGTCCTGGACATATGTGTGCCCAAAATCCAGAGAGGAGAATGGAGGAGAAAGGATTACAATGTGGCCATTTCCCCCCAGGGAGTGATTTCTCACTTCCTCTCTCCCTCTCCTGAGTATACATACCCTATTATAGCAAAAGCAAACAAGCAAACCCCATACCAGTTCTTTTTTTTAAAGAATTATTTAAATTAATTTATTATTACATTATTTTTTAATTTGACCAGAGAGAGCCAGAGAGAGAGAGGGAAAGTGAGAAAGCAAGCTGCTAGGTCCAAGACTCAAACTGCAGTTGGCCATGTGGGAGTCCAGCGCATTAACCACCATGCCATCTAGTAGCCCAGTTCTAACCATGGGTGCAATACCAGCAAATTTGTCTAAAAAAACTTATTTGGTCACAGAGTAGAGAGGGGAGTGAAAGAGGTCAACTTGGGGACAGGGAGAAAAGTAGTAAGAGTTATTGCAAAACAGTAGAGGCCTGATTTTCTGAAGGGCAGGGATCTTGGCATGGTTGATAATAAAGTAAAAAAAATTATTATTAACAAAACAGTAATATTTTAAATATTTAATATTTTAAATGAACTTAAAATATGTACATTTACAGATATTTTGTTATATTATCTTCCTTGCATAAAGCAAACACTTCATACTTTCTAATTAACTTCATTTAATTTTTAAGTGGTGAATTTAAAGATACCTATGATATAATTTGGGTGAAAGATACTTCTAGATTCTTATAAGTCCCCATGTGGCTAAACTACATCAACTGTAGTTATCTTCAGTGAATTTATTTAATTTAGTCTTTGAAAAGAATTCAGTTGGCTTTTATAAAGACAAAATGATCCTGCTGCACTTATATTTTATTGGTTTTGAATATTTAATTGAATTATATATTACGAGAACAATTGACAGAGACAGCTGTGAGACCAATCACAGATGATCTCTTAGTGAACACCTAATCCCACTGTGGGTGTGGGGCAGCGCACAAGAGTGTGGGCTATTGGAGTTAGCCATACTTAATGGATAACTACCGTTTTTCTTGTACTGTGTAATTTAATAAAATATTCCATAAACTCATAAAATATGGGTGCAGAAAGATAGTTTTTGCCTTTCTGACAGCCGGATGAATTCCTTGGACATTCGTGGGTCTATAACCATCAGACAACATTTGTTTTTTCCAAATAGAGGAAATGGAGAGATGGTTAAGTGTGTCCGTTAAAAATCTGATATAAAGCAATGAAGGCGAAGAGGAGGGATGAGTATTGAAGACATAAAACCCAAGGAATGATGACTGTTGGGACAAAGTCATGAAAAAGAGAAGTGCAGGATTATTCCCAGTTTGGACAATTGGGTGGGTGCTGATGCAGTTCACTGAAGTTGGGGATAAAGCAAGAGGCTCAGGTTCAGGGAGAAAGAAAGACATAGAATCTACTTGAAAACTTGTATTTAAGTGTGTGCTTACTCTTTGTTTTTGCAGAATTCATTCCCCCTTCTTTCTGAAATGACCTCTGACCCACTGCCCTCAGATCTTGATTCTCATAGTCTGGGTTGGGTCCACCCCAGTCTAAAGTCCAGGACAACACTTGAGTTGAGTTCATCAGTGCACTGCATTTTTTCGAATACGGTGATTGACCTGAGTGGTCACATGATCTAAGCTGGTCCAAATAGAGGGAATCTCAGGACCCGCACTGAAAATTCTGGGATAAATGCTTTTTTTCCCCCCCCCCCCCCCTTTCCAGTGGACTCTAATACGAGTGGTTGGAACCTAGAATTGCTGAGTGCCATCTCGAGACTGCAGGGAAGAGACCTGAGAATGGAGCCAACGCTGAAGACACAGCAGAGGAATCTAAAGATATAAGCTCCCAGAGCTGGGTGAAAGCTACAGCTGTCCCCTCATCATTCAGGCACATGAGTCAATAAACTCCTGCTTTTGCTTAAAATGATTTAAATTGACTTTTTAAATCACTTGCAACAACAAGAATCTTCGCTGTGAGACATCTAGAGATGTGAGGTTAAACAGATGAGCTGAGAATTCTAGAGAGGGATTTGAGCTGGAGATGCATAATTGTTAAGTAATCAGTATGTATGAGAGGGTTTCAAAGAGTTTATGGAAAAGTAGAATTAAAGTGTGAGTTTGGGCTGACCTCATAAAGCAGAAACAGAGGAAGTTGGGTCCCACATGGCTGTGAGCCCCAGTTCCTGGATTTGGTGGCTTAAAAAACACATTGGCATTATGTGCAGGTGACCAGGATCCTGCCAGGAGGGAGAATTAGAGGGAAAAGGATTGCAGTGTTCTCTGTCTCTGGTGTACATACTTCTACCCTCAGGCATAGAAAAGAAAGTACAAGTCTATTTCGGTGCAAAAAATATTGAGGGCTGGAGGGCCAGCCTGGGACTAGTGGTTTAGGGAGATCCCACCCAGCCAACCATGGGATTCAAATCCTGGTCCCAGCAGCTTAAAAACATCCTGGGCACATGTGTGTGCATGCCCCCACATCTCAACAGGATGGAGATGAAGGAGGGGGGATTTTGGTGCGGCCATGCCACATTGGGGGTGCTTTCTCCCTCTGCCTCTTTCTCTTTGTCTCTCTCTTGTGAGCATACACTCCCTCTGGAAAAATAAGAAAAAAAAAAAAACAAGCTGAAAAACAAAACAAACTGAGGGCTGGCTCTCTTGTGCTGTGGTCAAATGCTGTGCATAGGGAGCCAGATCCCACATGGCTGACCCCAGATTGAATTCTGGATGCAGCCGCTTGAAAAACATGCTGGATGTGATGGAGAAATGGAGGAGAAAGGACTGCAGTGTGACCATGCCCCACTGGGGTTGCTTTCTCTCTCTTATGGATGTACATACATACGTGTGCGCATAGACCCTCTAGCAATAAAAACGAAAAAAGAAAAATCCATGCATTTTTTGGTAATAATACACTTATAATAAGTGTTTGGAGACCCCACATCGATCAAAGCTGTTAGCTTGGAGGTTACCCAGGGAAAAGAAGTAGAGGATTTCCCAAGGCATGATCTGTAGACCACCTGCATCAAAATCTTGTGGTAGGTTTCTGAAAATCTGCTAGAAAGTAAAGGCAGTGCATGTGGTGTACTTTTTTGAAAAATCCTTGAGTGATGAGAGGAAGGCAGGTAGGATGTGGGGGTCAGGGAAGGTGTCCCTGTACCTTTCTTCCAATTTCATGTCGTCACTGTTTCTATTCTCAAAGCCATCCTTGGTATTGGTATCTTACTATAGAGTTTGTGTTGAATAAAAGCTGAGATGGGCCTCACTTACCCTCGCCTCTTCATATTCACACTCTTGTGTAACAACCCTCCTACTACCAAGTACGAGCAGGACCCTGACTTGCTTCTAACCAAGTGATGGCGTGCCACATCCCAGTGCTGATTACAATCTTTGTGATACTGACACCACAATCCCGAATGTTGAAAGTGCAAAAGATCAAAATCCCTGAAGTCTAAAATTTCTAACATCTAAAATATCCAAATTACACCCCCAAGAGATTATAATCCTAACTATTGAAATGTTGAAAGCTGAAATCCAGAAAACCACAATTCCCACTGGGGGCAGTAGAGGGTGGTTCTATGAGAGGGGCAGAGAGTCAAATTCTGGAAGAGATTACGAATACATTTCCGGTTGCATGCTGGATAGTTGCATCATGTTAGGTGGAACTATTACCTTGCCATTGTCTTTGTTTGTCTTTGGAGAGGTTTTTGCTATAGAGTGCGTGCGCTTGCCAGAAGGACAGAGAGAGACAGAGAGACAGAAAGTGAGAAATCACCCCCCAGAGGGAATGACCACGCCATAATCCCTTCTCCTCCATCTTCCTTTCAGGATCTTGGGCATGCATACACATGTGCCTGGGTCCAGGACTTGAACCACGGTGGACTATGTGGGAGTCCAGTAACATAGCTATTACGCCAACTGCTGGTCCCCACTGTCTTTATTTGTAAATCAAGTATGATAATCAATAGACTTAGGGATTTGACTGAATGTGAGGCATGAGGTGGGGGTGGGCAAAGCTGCATTCCATGTCTCTGGACAAGCCACGTAACCACACTAGCCTTCTTTCTCGTCTTCAAATACCCCAGCTCCTCCTCTCCTGAAGACTTTTGCCCTCCCCGTGCCTTCTCCTGATGTGCCCTCCTGCATCTTTCCAAATGTGTGTCCCTTCTGGTCCATCAGATCTCAGCATGAATGTCATTCCTCAGAACTGTCCCTTGCCACCTCCATTCATCTGTACATGCCACCCCATCACCTTTCCTTCCTAGGATGCATCACACTGTCCCATGGTGCATTCACTGTCTTCTTTCCTCACTAGAAAGGAAGCTCAGCGAAGGCAGGACCTCGTCTGTCTCTCTGACTGTATTCTCAGGGCCTGTGACAGTACCCAGATAGGTAATATATGAGTGAATCCTAACAATAAGTGATGCCTCTCCACTGGTCTGAATAATTCACAGATAATTCTGTTGTCTCATTACTCCTGATTATGTCTGTATCCAAGATGCATTTTTACAGCTTTGTATATAGTATTTGCTAGCAACTTCTGTTAATCTAGTTTACATTCCTTCCACTCTCTGTCCTCCCTTGAACAAATTTACTGGCTCTCTAGTGTATGTTTTAAAAAATGATATTATTTTATTACTACTGGTAGGAGTGGCCTGCATGGGGTGGTTGGTGTGCCAAGCTCTCAGGAGGTGATGATGGCTGGGAAGTTGGAAGGGCAAGGGGTGGGTCCAAGGGATCCTCAAATACGCTTCTGAGAAAAGGAACTCTTGAGGAAGGAGTCATGGCACGCTACAGCCAACCCACCAATAAGATTAAGAAATTCTTGGAAATCTAGCTGCCCATCAGAGTTGGTGTCCAGTCTCTTCATCATGCGGTCCAGGACACCAGGGTCCTTCTGGTTCTGCAAAAACAATAATAACGATCATGATGATGATGACAATACCTTTATATTGTACTTCCTAAGGGTTTTCATGTGTGTTGCCACAGTTTGTTTTCACAGGGATGTAAGGCAGGATGGTGATTATCACTATTCCCATTTTCCAGATGCATAAAGACTCAAAGGGTTAATGTAGGCCCAGCTGCTATGGCCCAGTGGTAACACAAGTGCCCTGCAAGTCATATGATGTCTGTGGGTTCAAACCCTCAGGTTGGTGTGACCTGAAAACATGCCAGGTGAGCACATGCTCAGGATCCTGAGGACTTGGAGGGCTGGAGAAAGATCACCCCAGTATAAGAACATCCTTTTGGGGGTGCTTCTTTCTCTCACAAGTGCATGCATGATCCTTATCTTTAAAATAGATCAATACAACATTTTTTTCTCTTTAAAAAAAGGTAAAGTGACCTGCCTAAGGGACAGACCTATGGTTTGAACCCAGGTTTTTCTGCTCCTAGTCCCTTATGGTGATTTAATTTGGTAAAATCAGTAGAATACCTTTTTCAAGTGTTACAAGTTCAATATCTGAACTTTAAAAAAGTCAAGTTCATTCTGGTGGATAGTGGGCACAGGCCCTGCCTAATCAGCTCCCTCCTCCACGGTCCAAGCCCTTGTAGCACAGACATGTACTCAGTAAGCGTCACTGGTTACATGTGGCTAGTTAACTTTAAATGTATACTTCAATTAGTTAACTTAGAAAGCAAATCTCTTAGTCACACTAGCCATGTTTCAAGTGCTTAAAAGGTACAGGTGGCTAGTGGCTACCATACTGGATAGTGCAGATATATAGAATATTATTTCCATCACTGCTCAAAGTTCTACTGAACACGGTGATCTTAGAGCCTCTGTGGTAGAGGAATAAACACCTGAAAATAATTCAGTCATGCCATGTAACATTTCATATATCTCCCTCCCTAAATGGAAAAAACAAATCACCACTCTTGAGTGTTAAGGTTTGGAAAATGGTTTGTTCTCCAAATGGTTTGAACTGCATAGGTTCATGTTATGGAATTTGTACAATGGCATTGGAGATGGTGAGACCTTTAAGAAGTGATGCACAGTGGACAGTGTTTGGATCATGGAGGCCTTACTCCCAAAAGGGGTTGTTAGTTCCCATGACGATGGGTTGTTATGAAATGCAAATGGATGCCCCCAGGTCGTTCTCTTTGTATATGAGTCCACCATCCTCTATTTCTGTGGGCCATGTTGTGACCATGCTCCAGAGCCAGCCTGATGCCAGCCCCATGCTGTTGGACTTCCCAGTCACCAGCATCATAAGCCAAATAAACCTTCATTCTTTTTTTGGAGAGGTTTTCGCTATAGGGTGCGTACACTCACCAGACAGACAGAGAGAGACATAGAGACAGAAAGCGAGAAATCACCCCCCAGGGGGGATGGTCACGCTGCAATCCCTTCTCCTCCATTCTCCTCTCAGGATCTTGGGCACGCACGCACATGCGTCCGGTGTGAGTTTTAAGCCACAGGGTCCGGGACGCGAACCGCGGTCGACTACGTGGGAGTCCAGCGACATAACCATTACGCTAACTGCTGGTTCCCATAAACCTTTATTCTTCATAAATCTCCTAGTCTCAGGTATTTCAATAGCATGTATTTCAATTAGCAATAGGACAGCAGACTAAGATAGTACATCATGCAATCTGTATACTTTGATCTTTAAAAACACATCTTCAGAGAAAAGAAGAGAAGGCCCTTCATTATTCAGAGCTCACCCTGAGGCCTAGGGGCTCAACCTGGGCTATGGTGTGGACACCTAGCTTGGATTGAATGGGAACAGATAGAGTGTGAGGGAATCAACTGCTGGCCCTCCATTTCTGGCCATTCTGCCAGGGTCTTGTTTCCTGCTGTGGGTAGTCTGGAGGGTGGCTGGGACCAGTACCTTTGTGAAGGCAGCCAGTTCTGTGTTCATGAAGTTCAGGAATTCTGTCTTGGAGAGTGTGATGTTGTGGCCATCCTTTCCAGCATACTTCTGGAAAACAGCAATCAGGGACTCGATGCACCGTTCGGTCTCTGTGGGGCTGGAGATTTTTGCCTTTGGAGGAAAAAAAATGTAGGGCTTAGACAAGGACAAGATGTCAAGGACTGGATGCTATAGGATACTCCAGAGAATCTAATCTGATTTTGGGTTAGAGCAGTTTCCTAAATAACTGGGTCATTTTTCAGGGGACTGAGGGCCCAAGACAATCACAGAAAGTTGTATTCTGTGAGCTTTTTGCTCATTCCTCCTTAGCTCTTTATGCTGGGTAAAATAAAGCGTGATGACAAATGGAACAGTGAGGTTAGATTTGGAAACAGTGGACTTCTAACGAAATGCCAGTTTTTAAAAAAGCAATACTGAATTCCTAGGACTTACGTGAGATCTTGAAGAAAACTAAAAGCATAGTTATTATGGTATGTGGCATGGGAGATGAGAACTTCTTTTTTTTTTTGAGAACTTCTTAGATGTTCAAAAGTAGCTTTCGAGTTAGGGACTATGAACTTTTTTTTTTTTTTTTTAAAGACAGGGTCTTGTTGTGTTGTAATCCTCCTTCCTCAGCCACCTTAGAAGCTGGGAGCACATGTGTGCACCGCCATGCCCAGATTTTCTACAGACAGGATCTCTCTGTATTGCCCAGGCAAGCCTTGAGTTCCTGATCTTCCTGTCTTAGCACATGCCACAGTGCCTGACCAGAACTGAACCTGGGCCTCTCATGTGGTCCTAGCCTATAGAGCAAAGTCTTGGCAGTGCCCCTGTGGCTGGGCCCAGAAAACACCACAGCAGACCAACTCCTAGAAACTGGGCCTCCAGGTCCCATTCTGCAGTCCCTGGTCCTTGCTCCTTCTACTTCCAGCTGACACTGATTCCCACAGGAATAGCTGGTGGAACTTCTCTGGAGGGGTTAGTTCCCATGAAGATGGGTTATTATGAAAGGCAGATGGCTGCCCCCAGGTCTCTCTCTTTGCATGAGTCCACCATCCTCTATTTCTGTGGGCCATGTTGTGACCGTGCTCCAAAGTCAGCCTGTTGGACTTCCCAGTCACCAGCATCATAAACCAAATAAACCTTTATTCTTCATAAATCTCCCAGTCTCAGGTATTTCTATTAGCAATAGGACAGCAAACTAAGATATTACATCATGCAGTCTGTATACTTTGATCTCTAAAAACACATCTTACTTCATTATAAAAACACATCTTACTTCCATTATAAAAATATATCTTACTTCATTAGAAAAGCACATCTTACTTACATTGTAAAAACACATCTGACTTCATTATACCAGGAAGGTATACACGGGGCTCTGAGGCTGTGGCTCACACAGCATCTATAGAGTGGAACCACAGCTGTGGGTGCACCATAGAGCTGGGGAGAGTCACATCCCGGCTGTATTCTCCTTTCCTCACAACGGTATTTCCTAAGGACATTCTGTTGGCCAGTCTACCCATCCATCATTCCAGCTGGAGCTGGGATTCCAGAAGGAAGAGCTGTTGAGCTCCCCCTGGTGGAAGAACAGCAATTGCAGGCCTTGTGGGAAACTTGCAGGTCCCACCCTTCTTCAGGCTTCACGGGGCATTAACGATGATTTCTGTTTGAATAGTGATGTTTGTAACTGTAGCCTTTACTTTGTCCTTAGAATGGACTTCCTGGAAACCAGAGCTGGAGGCCTCCTTCATGAACATATACTAAGGACTGGTCTTGCCTAGGTGCATGGCACTAGTCTCCCTCCAGTTTCCCCAGGGGCTTTACCAGCCTGGGTGAGGCACTTGCTGCCCGTTGTGTCTTGGAGCATTTTGAGCCCCTGACCCTTCTTCTGCCAGTAGATTCTTTCCCAAGTCACAATATTGGAGATTTTTTTTTCCCCCATGGGAACTTTTTTCTTAAGGAAAAAAAGTCTCAGTAGGCTTAGGGCTTGGGGGAGAAACAAAACACTGCAGCCTAGAAACGGGCATGTTTCCACACATACTCACTCTTATCAGCATGGAAATCTCACAGTCTTACTAGTGTGTCAGAAGACAGGAAGAAGGTTGGCTGGGAGGGCACACCAGATAGGGTAGAAAGTAGGCTAAGGAGCTTGGCTTTTGTAACTTTTTTCTAGACCTAGTAGCTGTTTCTCCTGTGCCTTTTCCTGGCAAAATTCAGATTTCTTTGTTTTTCCAGTGTCAAAGTGCCTTTCTGTTTTATTTATTTATTTATTTATTTCTCTTTGCCATTAGTTTAGATTGTAATTTAGACATTATTTTTTCTCTTGAAAACTGTTGCTATTGGTGTGGTCCTGAGCCTAGTGGTTGAGGGATCCAGACCCCATATGGCTGACTGTAGTTCACATCCTGCTCTGGTAGCTTGGGAAACAAAATCTGATGGGATGGAGAAATGGAAAACGGATTACCACACAACCACGCCCCATTGTGACCAGGTCCCGTTGTGACTAGGCCTCATTGTGGTATGCTTTCTGGTCTGTCTCTTTCTGGCAAGAGCATGTGCTCTTTGGCAATTAAACAAGAAAAAAAGAGGTAGAAAACTCTTGCTGTCAACCAGGAGGAGAAAATGAAAACCTTTCTGCATTCTTCCCACCCTCAAGTAATTTTCCAAAGCAAAAGAAACACAATTATCAAATTACTGAAATAGAATTGCATTAATTTGTAGAGCTTGCGGGGACTTTGGAAATGGTTTCTGAGGAAGACTTGGCTTGAGGCAGAATAATGGCTAAAAGAGAGAAGTCTCCACGTATCACCACACCCTATCGTTTTTATTGGTGGGGACAGAGATAGGAAGGAGAGAACAACATGGTAAATAGATACTGTGAAAGAATTTAAAAATGCATACTAAGCACTCAACATTTGAGGGGAAAAAATACAAAACAGAAGAGAAGTAACACTGAAGAAAGACTCAACTATTGCAGTTCTCATTCATAACCAACAGTTCCCTCTCCCCCCAGGAGTCCATGGTCTCAGCTAGGCAATCGGTCCAGTCCTTCACTGCATGCTAGTGCTGGGTGTGCCCTGCGCGGTACCACGTGGCGTGGGTTCTCCCTTTTTACATGGAAAGGAGGAGAGGTGGGGATACAGATGGGCACATCAAAGCAGGGCTTGGCCAGCCATCTTTCACAAAGGGCCAGAGGGTGAATATTTCAGACATGCTATTGCAGAAGAGAAGTAAACACAGACAACACAGAGACATCAAAAAGTTTCCGGAAAAAATGGACTTCAAGTACGAATTTATTTTGGTATAATACTTTTTTGAAATCCATGCATACTTTTTCATAAATATACATTTCTATGAACTTTCTGAAGAAGCCTGGTACACACAGGGTGTGGCTGCATTCCAGTAACTTTCTGTGGACGCCGAGGTCTGATTTTCACGTGTCAATGCAGTATTCTTCTTTGGATTTTTTCCCCAACAGTTTAAAAATGTAAGGGCCATGCATAGCTTATGGACCAGACAGAAAACCGATTGGGGCCATGGGCTGAAGTTTGCTGACCCCATCACTAAGAGGCAAAGGAGAAAGGTAGATCTTGGAAGTGAATTAATGGAAAAGAAAGAAAGAGACTTCAATGAGGGGAATGGAAGGAGCAGCGAGGAGAAAAACAGGTGACAGCGAGGGCTTGAAAAGAAGAGGAGGGGGCTTCGCTGGCTGGGCTCCTCCCAAATTCCTGCCTGGGGCTCCGCTGGCTGCGACCGGCTTCGGTTTCAGTCTCTGGGTGTCCTGGCAGTTTGCCGGTGGCTGTCTGGGACTTTGATTTTTCACTGGGGCTCGGATAACTAAGTTTTACAATGTTCCCTTCCGGGACTCCAGAAGCAACTAGTGACGCCGCGCTGAATTCCAACCCTCTGACTAACTTTTATCCCAGGCTTCCCAGGCCTGGGCGAGACCAGTGGCTAGGGGTTTCGAGCACACAAAGAGAAAATCACCCTTTCGATTCCCTGCACTCAGACCCGGCCTGTTAGGTCGGGACGCCGCGGAGGGACCCCCCCCTGCGCGAGGCTTCTGTGCAGGGGTGCAGCCTGCAGCCGGGGCGGCGGCCCCGCACTTCCTCTCCCCAGCCCTAGACGTTATCTGGATTGGGAAAACAAAAGCGCCTCCGTGGCCACCCTTGGGCTGTAATTACAGGTATAATTCTAGGGCTTCTTCCTTCCACCCCCTCTTCCCTAATAGCCTCCTACAAGATCTGGTTCTCCTGCTTCGTTTCTTGCCACATCATCAGAGATGAAGCCCGGTGAAAGTGTGCTGTTGCTTTTCATTTAAGAGGAAGGAAAAAAAAAGTTCTGCTTACCATGTTGGAGTTGAAGGAGGCACTGGTGGCGGCGTCTGGAGCGTCG